AGCAGGCTTGTTAAGGAGGCAAAAGATCTACATGGTCTGTAATGCCAACAACTTCACCAAAACTTATCAGAGCGTCCGACAAGTTTCGTTTCCTATCTTGTTGGACAATGAATTTTTTAAAATAGCTTCCATTACTTTAAAAATGGTTTGATGTTAATCATTTACTCATCGATGTTGTAAGTTATAAATTAAATTTACTATAAATGTAAAATAAAATGGGCACTAAATATATAAACTATAAATATTAATTGGTACCACGTCAAAAAATAAATAAATAATCAGTTGATTGGTATACATTTTATCCTAACGATACTACGGTACTTCATTAGTTTGCATCCTGTACTGGTTAAATATCAACTGATAATCTATTTATTTTTTTACCTTGTACCGATTAATATTTACAGTTTTTATCTTTTTTAGCCCTGATAAAGGCCTACAACTTTGTTGGAAACGTCGGCAAATACAATACAATACTATTATAATATATATTATTATTTATTGACCGCATCCCCGACCAACATCTTCTCACTTTAATTGTATTTAATTCGTTTACATCCCTCATAATATTTAAATTAAAATTTATTTTATAAAGAACTGTTTTTTAAATCAGATTATTATTGCTATAATTATAAACTGTTACTTCAAAATCAACCATAGCTGTTTCAGGTATTATACTATTATTCCATAACCTACATATTACTGATTAATAATTAGTATGTAATGTGTAGAATTTATCCCAGCGGCAATATTTTTGGAATATATAATTATGTCTACTGTTTATAGTTTATTTGCTTTATCGATAAAATTTCGTTTTGTAAACTGTTTTGACAATATTTAAGTTAAAACATGTATTCTAGCACAAACTTGCTATTTCCTCTTATTTACTTCTTCATGCTTCCATTCTTGGCTCCGTCGTTGGGTGACCACTTTAATCCTGAAGCTTTCTTTTATCTTCGCATGCGAGGCCGCTATTTCCTTGAGTGGTGCTCCGGAAGACTATTAGGATGGATAGGTCGTAGTTCCAATTGGATTGGAGTATCGGCCTTGCTGATTCATATTTACGATCTCTCCCAACAAAACAGACTTTCACCAATTTTACTTTGTTTGAAGTGGGTTATTCCTCCAGTCTTTAAATCAAAATACGGATTTGTTAAAACTGAATGCTTTATATTTAATAATCGTAGTGTGTATGAGGCTTTTTTTTAAGTCATCTATCCTTAATCTTCAGAAATTAATCTAAGCCTTCATCATCTGTTTATATTTTGTATAATCTTACTCACTCTAATACTAACAAGTTGTCTCTCAGCAAAATGGATCTCGAAATCATGAAGAAGTATTTTACTTACATTTTTAATTAATATTTTTTGTACTCTAGAATCGACGTTGTTGGACGGTGCAAATAATCGTGAATGAAAAAGAAAAAACTAATGAAGTATTCTCATTCATTCTAATCAAATCTACTACTAGATACTAATACTACTACTAGATTTTTGAAGTGAAAATTTCTTTAGGTATTTCACTTCTTTTTTTTTTTTTGGAGAATGAATTAGAGTGAGCCGATGCGTAACCCTCGGATAAAGTTGGCTGAAGTCGACTAATTAAAGTGTTTTTTGCACATGGATTAAAATATCTCACAAACTAAAAATCGGTTCTGCATATTGCTAGCGAGAGAAATTGTTCATCATTTCCATCCTCTTTTTAATGAACTATTATTCAAAATTGTATCTTAACACGACGCCTTGTTAGAGAGCCGAAAAGGGGAAACAAAAAGTAGAAAACCAAATTACATCGAGTTTTATTGATGATATTGTTTAAAATATCCCTGAAACTAAAAATTGGACCTGCATAATGTAAGTGAGAGTAAAATGTTCAACATTTCATCCTATTTATAATGAGCTGTTATTTATAATCTATATTTTATATTATTAATCTCGTCTTGTTGATGTTTTCACTTTTATCTTATGTTCTAAAGCTCACACCTTAGTTTTTTTTCATTTCCCTTCATTTTTATTAAAATTCGAATTTAAATATTTTATTTAAACCGCTCGACGTTTTCGATTACTACAGCACTTACTAGACAAACGCTCTAAACTTTCCATTAATTACAAAACACTCATATATTTGACTATAATAAGACCTATTTGGATTTACGGAGTTGAGCTATGGGGCTTCACTAAACCATCGAATTCCTCTCGCATCCAATCCTTACAATCCAAAATCCTTCGTAAAATCCTCAATGCTCCTTACTTTGTCACTAATAAAATTATCCATAAAGATCTTAATGTTCCTTATGTTTCAGATCTGGCCCAATCCAGATGCCTATCCTTCCATAATAAACTTCAGAATCGTCCCAACCCTCTCGTTTCTAATCTTGCTTCCTCCTCAATTCCTGATAACCCTCCAAGGCTTCTGAAAAGAAGATGGCCCCGTGATCTTCTTATGTAGTCATATCATTAAAGTGCTACCATTGGGTAGTTACTCAGTAAGTGTATTCATGTCATTATATCTATTATGTCCAAATTTACTAGATGTATTTATGTAATACAGTTGTAAATGTCATTAAGAAATAAATAAAAAAATATATATATATTTTATTTAAAAAAACAAAGGTACAATCGATTGAACTTTAGATGTTCAACAAACTTGATGAAGTCTTTCGTTGTTTTAAACTATTCCAGTATCCAACTGTAGGTTGTAACAAACATATGAAGAATAAAATAAAATATTTATGAAGAAAGAGTCCTTACATACTCCCACCCTTCGAAAACGAAATTGAAGACAAGGTTAAAGCTCGGCTAAAAAACTTGTCATTTTTTTGTTGCGATCCTAGTTAACTCGCCACTTCTATACCGAAAGTTAAAAATTAGAATTTCCAATTATCTGTGCCGACTGGTAAGCGTCCGAGAGGTCGAAGGAAGGGAAGAAGATGGGATGACTGGGTTTAGCGGCTGGATATGTTTGGATGGTTGGAAGTATGAAGAGAGTGATTAGTGCTACCGAGATCGAACCTTAGGATTCGCAAAACCTTTTTATTATTACAATTCAATAATTATTATAATTATAAACAGTAAGTGTTAGCTGAGTGAGTTGTCAATAGACAATGTTTTTTTTTCTTTTGATTCTGCATTTCTGTCCTGATGATGCCTCAATCGGTGAAACATTGGCTGGTTAACTGTTCACCTGGAAGTTAGTGTCTCATAGCTTTATACTTTGGATTTTTTCCATTTATAACGTAATAATTTCAAGCTATATGCTTATTTTAGTAGTACAATTTATTGAAAAAAATTACATCCATTATAGGATTTCCCGATCCAGCTCCTCGCCCTTGTAAAAAGGCGATGGATTCAGTGGATTGTGTTCTCTCTAAGCTACATTAAGAGCGCTTACAATCATAACTCGAGTGGGAAAGTTCAACGTTACCAGCATCCAAATACTCCCAATGTCATATTTTTAAAAAATTCTCTGGATCACTGCTGTATTGATCTACAAGAGCAAATGATTTGAATCGGATCAAGATTGAACCTAAGGATTCAGATGTGTTGGAAGATTCATGATATGATCGGAAGGTTCCAGTGCGAATTCAAGGCAAGATGGCTGGAAAACTAGATCCGGTATACTCCAATATAGGCGGAATGTCGGCGTTGACACTGACAAAGGCCAAAGCAGGGATGGGTTGCGTCCCCAGATTCCCAATATGGAAGCTGATACCCGACCTCTCCATAGCCGGTCCCGCTCGGATATACCCGCACATCCTCCATTACCATTTTAAAGCGCAATATAATAAGTCAGCTTTTCAACGTTATACTCAAACGTATGCTCATACATGAATTTGAGTTATATGCAATGCCTTCCGAATCAAATCTTTAATATTATGGTTCGAGACGGATATAACGGACCATCCTTACTAAACTACTCGTTGCTTCTTTTGTTACGTTCCATTAAATGGCGTACTCGATTTGTCTCTTAGAATTGAAGTAGTCATAATTCTTTGACTGTGCATTACTTACATAGGGGCTGTTTGGTTTATACTGAATAATAAGATCGGTAATCATTGGATAAAAGCATACTACAAATTATTTATAATTTATATTTTATTTTTTCATCCTAATTTTCAAGTAAATGATAAATATAAGAATTCCATATATATTAATCACAACTCATCATAGAGATTAATGTATTCTAAGTATTATATTATAAGTATTATCCATTCTTGGATAGTGATATTTCCCAAAATATTGGGCCGTTCAGCGTTACCTATACCCCTAACTTGTTAAAATAACGAGGTGATATACATCAAACGGACCAATATTTTTATATACCACTTCTAGATTGTGTGATTGTTTTTATTTTTCGATTCAAGTGAAAAACAAATGGGCATTCATAAGTATTTAGTACCTCGTTAAATTGAATAATTTAAGGTAAATATGCCCCTTCTATGAGATAAAAAAAAAATGTAGCCTACGAAGTTTTGAAAGTATGTTATGATGTTTGGGAGTCATATTCAGCCCGATTTCGGTGCTTACTGATAAATATTGACCTATCTATAAATATTTGTTCGGAGTTCCAACCATATATTTACCATTTTCATTAGTAGCAGAAGGACTTATTTATGAAAGTATCCACATTTATCATAATATGGAGGGTTCTGGGTCCTCTTAGATAAGGGAAATCTACCCCTTGGTATTTCCTCTTCATTCATTCTTATCTTCCAATACTTGCCCTTACTTCATTCGTTTATGGCGACCGTTTCGTACATAGCTCTTATCGATATTAATCGAGATTGTCAGTATATAATAAACCTTGTAACAAATAGCAATAATATAACTTGGCACACTTAACTTTTCTATTTTATAAAATAATATAAAAAAATATTATAAAGTCTGTTTATGATAAATGCTTTTTAATGATTTAAATTACAATGAATCTGCACGATTTTACCACGTTACCGAGTTTGCAGCATTCTGATCATTGAACGAATGTATATTCCTCATTACAGTCAGTTACAAAGCCAAAGATACGATGCCGATGGCGGAGTCTTTGCCAACACATCTCTCTCCATTGAGCCCTATTAAACGCAAATCTTCAAGTTCAGATCTGATATATTTCTCCCATCTATGTTTTGGTCGACTCCTAAGACGAGAACTCAGATCCCTTACCCTTTTAGACACTCGTTCGTTATGCCTTCTGAAAAATCAATCTGACACTGGCTAATCATGTATGTTTAACCAAGCTTTATTTTTATTATAAATTCTTTCTATATGGACAAATATTTCACATTTCTATCAAACTCTACCAGCATTGTTTCAATAGTTTTTATTTATGATGATGATGCTTCACTATTTTTTTGTATTTATCAACTGCAATTCATTTTTACTAATGTAAAAATATTGCCTACTTTGTTTATTTCCATTCTGCGTCGTTGTGCTCGTATACTGTTCTTTTTTGTTTGTTTTTTACTTCTATGCAGTCAAATAAATTTAACATTTTTAAATAACAGATCTAACTATCCTATTTTTTATGGTTATTTATTTTTTTTATAAGATTAATTCAATTTTACCTCGGTTATTATAATTGTAATTTTTTTAAAGTATGGAATGTATCGTTTTGTTATTAGGTTTGTGTTCTCTATTTTTTATACTTATTTACGTTCTTATATATTTTCACAATACATATCTGCGCCTTAAGCAATAGTTTATTATCAGCTTAGATAATTTACTATTGAAAAAACAATATATTTTTAACATATTCTTTAAATGAATAAAAAGTTTATTTTCGTACTTAATTTACTAAATCAAGTCAAACCTCAAATAAATTGATATGCAACTTCAGATTATCAAACAAGGAAGTTTTTAAAAACTTTGGAGTATCGGTAGTATAGCTGAAGGATGTTAAAAAAACATCACGAATAATCCATGATTTTTTTTTAAACTTATTTATTGAAAAATATTACAATCTGTCTCTAGGACATTTATAATAGTGTTCACAGATCACATTCACACTCTATGTACAATAAATAAAATAAATTATACAGAAAAATAATATATATATATACAATAAATAAGAATAAAATAACCTAGAAATAAATAAATAAAAAGAACACATACACACTTATATGCAATATGTACAATCTGGTGAGAGAACTCCAAACCAGACTTGTCCCTCCAACTGGAGGGAAAAGTATGATTCCAGGAGATTCCTGCACTTCTCTCTCAACCGCGTCACTAGGGCTAAACCCAGTGGTGATTGAGCAAGAGTGCTTAATGATTTAATGAAAAACACAACTAAGCGTAGCTTTGCCGCTCAAAACACTCCTTTGAACGGTTTTGAAAAAAGACAAACTCTACTTGTATTTGAAGGAAATTTTGAAAAGAGAGAATTGGACTTATCTCCATGCATCAAACAATTTTTTTTTTTAATCACCTCCCAGAGTTTAGCCATCAAAAGCTGAGAAACCCTGTATATATTTTATGCACACCAACTCAAGTTTTATTTTAACTTCAAATCGTTCCCTATATTCCCTCCCTCATCTTTAATTTCTTTCCGAAAAAAAGAGACCCCTCTCCAAAGCCCCAACCTGAAGGACTTTTCATGAATGATTAAAGTCCTTAGTTGGGCTACTCAGAGGGCTTTGATGTCCTCCTCGTCCTTGAAATGCCTTCCAAGAAAGCCGATCATTCGTGGCGAGTGTCTTCACATGCCATTAATGTGGTCGATGAACCTGCCCTCTGGATCGATTATAACCCTCACATCCCTTTATTTGCTTATCGTGACACTGTTCTGGACAGGAACACTGGATCTGACTTTTTCTTCTCATTCCGGACTTGTCTGATTGACAGGTCGATATTGAGATTGACTGGTTGAATAGAAAAAAAAGCTTGGTCGAATATTAGTCAATGAAAGAGCATTGATACGGTCATATCAAAGTACTGTCAATCATGAATGACTCAGGAGTGAATTGTTGCCTCTATGATATACGTGGCGCAATTGGCATGGACACAGTGCCTGCGTAGCTGTTGGTCTTATCTCGACTGTAAACGATCATTGTTAAATGATGACGTGCCCTATAAATCTCGTATTCCTTGTCAATAATTGGGTGAGGCAATGGTTTGTCATCAGATAGTCATCTCGCTCGTAAACATTCAACGGATGCATTAGTAACATTTCAATCAGTGGAAACAATAAAGCACACTTTGGAATTAAACTATCGGGAATATAATTACAAAACCTAATTATACAGATAGTCAAATTTTCTTTTTGCTTCGAGCATCATACCCTCAATGCCTTCAAATCATGAGATATTGTTTGAACAGTTTTCGTAAGTACTTCTATATTAGTCCTTCTCCTTCATGTGTTAAGACTCTGATGGAGTAAACATATTTATAATTTGTTTTAGTTCCTCACTTATTTAAATTCTGTGTGCGTTCCTAGATTTTTCAGACCATCGATGGACAAAGTTTTTGTATAAACAACTGCAAAAAACTCTGGCTAGAATTTATAAGAATCCTGAACCCGATTACTTCTACAACATTTTCTTCCCAACATCTTCAGTGACTTGAGTCCGCTTCTGCTCCGATTTCATCATTCATTGATTTTATCAATAAAGTTATCCTCATTATCTGCTATTATACTACAAAGTGATTCGCTCAGAAATGCAATTCTTCAATTATCCATCATCACTAGCACTACAACATTGTACGATCGTACCTTCATAACTTTCCTGCGTCAAGACATTGTATTCATTCTCCCCTTGTGCAAGGGTCTGCAAAGTTCTCGTGAACAGAAATTTCAATGCATAAGCTTCGACATCGTGAGTCCGTCTCAATCGTAGCTTTCCTCTTTTTCTTTTTCAAATAACATACCATAGAGTAGTTTAACTTAAAAAAAAAAAAAAACTCTTAACAGTAGTTTAAAAAATACCTCATTTTAATTAATATAGACTTAATAGCACTCTCACTCAATCTCCACGAGCTTTGGCACTAATGACGCAGTTGAGAGAGTAGTGCAAGGATCTCCTGGGGTGCTGCTTTTTCCTCCATCATCTGAAGGACAAGCCTGGCTTGGAGTTTTCTGTAATTGTAAATTTACTTATATAGTTATTAAGTTTTTATTTATTGTATATACTTTTTTAATTATTATTTTGCTTCTGTTTATTTTATATTTTATTTATTTATATTATCTGTATGTCTAGTGTGAATGTAGTATTACATCACTATAATCAATGTCTATGTGATAAAATATTATATTTCTCAACAAATAAAAATAAAAAATATTAATAAACAAGGAAGTTTTTCTAAGAGTAAGGTGTCTATAGAACAGTTTGGGGGTGATTTAAAAAATCGTAAATAATCCACGATTTTAAGAAAATCAGAGCTTAATTTAGCGACTTAAAAGTCCTCTTTGAGTAGTTTTACCAAACTCTATGATGTAGTTGTTTATTACGTGAATTGAATTTTTTTTTTTTTATCGCTCCAATTCAACAAAAAATGTGATACTTTAAAAAACACAAAATTTTTTTTTTTTCCGAAGAAAATCGGACCATAGTTTATATGACATTTTCTGTAGCACCTAATGTCTACGATTACATCTTTAAATATTTCTCTTTACTTAAAATATTTATGAATAACGAGTCCTTACATACTCTTACACCCTTCGAAAACGAAATTAATGATGAGGTTAAAGGCTGAAAAGCTTGTAATTTTTTTGTTGCGATCCTAGTTAACTCGCGAATTCTATACCGAAAATTAAAAATTAGGATTATCCAACATTATCTGTGCCGACTGGTAAGCGTCCGAGAGGTCGAAGGTACGGAAGAAGGTGGGATGATTGGGTTTATTGGCTGCATAGGTTAGGACGGTTGGAAGTATGAAGAAAGCGATTGGTGCAATCGAGATCGAACCTTAGGTTTCGCTTAGCCTTTTTATAATTAATAATAATATAAATTCAATAATTAATATAATTTTTATAATTATAAACTGTAGGTGATGGCTGGGTGAGATGTCAATAGACAATGTTTTTTCTTTTCTTTTCATTCTGCATATACGTAAATGATTTCTTATAATTTTTTTATAAAATATTAGGCTAAAGGTCACCAAACGTGTACAGTTTTTACATCCTGTATTATTTATTCAACGTTCCGGCTTCAAGAACCATTTTCAAGATCCTGCAAACTAATTTTAATTCAGTGTTTATAGTTCAAAATACATCCTTATTAGACACATATTAATTTAACAACTATCAGTTATATACATTACTTGGAATACTAAGCACTAAACTACAATATTAGTGAACACAACTGTTTTATTCATCATCAAAGATAACACTATAAGGTTAATACCACTCAATCACTAATTGGTATAATCGATATATCACAATTCCCCCCTTTCTAAAGAAAGTGTATCATAGTTACAAAAATAGAAACATATATGAAACATGAAATCATTAAAAACATGAAAAAAATATCAAAATTAAATATAAGTCTTGTATAAAACTAAGAATACAAATAACTGAGTCTTCTGCAGCTCTCAAGGAGGGCTCCCACTTCCATGACTGATTATTTGGTTGCTCTCTTGTTGATTTATAGAAATATCCTCTTCTCTTATTTTTTCCCCAGGGAGAAATCTGACGATTTGGTCCACATGGCGTTTGCATGTAATACCATCGTCTGTTTCAACTAAAAATGTTACAGGTGACAGTTGCTTTTTTATTCTTTCTCGAGTCCTCTTATTTGCGGCATTTACACTAAAATCATCTACCATTACTTCGTCATTTACCTGAAAGTTGATACAACGGGATGATTCATTTCTTAAGAGGGATTGGCACTGCTTAAGTTCCACATCATTATTCACATTTGGTTTCAGAAGGTCAAATTTCGTTTTAATTTCTCTTTTATACATAAGATAAGCTGGTGATCTTTCGGTAGTAGAATGCTCTATTCGCCTGTAATCTAAAAGAAAACAGTCCGTAGCATACTCGACTGATAGCCCAGATTTTAACATCTTGCACATTTTATCTTTGAACGTACCAACAAAATTTTCTGCAGCTCCATTTGTTGCTGGATGTTTTGGAGGTGTTACTGTATGCCTTATAAAGGTCCTTTAGGTTTTTTGGTATTGCTAAATTTCTAATAAGAATGTAGGTTTCTGCACTCACCTTTATAAGTAGTTCTGGTACATACTTACTTTCTTCAATATCATGTGCAATGAAATAAAGTTCTAACCTTTCAATAAAAGTGTCCCAGTCATCCTCATGTAAACGAAATTCAATTTTACAGGTCTCCATCCTGTAGTTTGCTCCTTTATTCTTTGTTTTAACTTGGGTTACGTTTTCACTAATTTCCTTGCTTTCTTCTTTATTTTCACTTCTCAATTCCTGCACTAAAATTTGCCTTAACCTATCTACAGAATCAGCCTCATCAAAAACCAAACCTAATTCTTTTAGTTTTAAAATCAAGTCTTGTTTCTTTAATTCATACACCCACGAAGTACCTTTCTTCATTACTTTTATCCTCGTTGCCAAATGTTAAGTACTTGGAATACTAAAGCACAAAACTACAATATTAGTGAACACAGCTGTTTTATTCATCATCAAAGATAACATTATAAGGTTAATACCACTCAATCACTAATTGGTATAATCGATATATCACATACATAGTCCAAATTCTATAGTTTATATGACATTTTCTGTAGCATCTAATGTCTACGATTACATCTTTAAATATATCTCTTTACTTACGGGATATTACTGTATACATTTTTTTTTTTTTATAATATACATTTAGTACTAAATTTTTGTCTTCTCGTACTTAAGCAATACTTATTAATTTGTAAGCGGTGAAACTTTAAAAAAAAAAATCAAAGTCACCCAGAGATATTTCCGTAATTTCTCACTACGAAATCGAAATTAGCATAAGTATACGCCTGTTACGAAAGAGCCATTTGAGTTGTTTTCTTATGAAATGGAAAGAAGAGCTGGAAGCAGGCGAGGCCCGAGCTCTACCCTCGGGCGCCTTCGTGACTGCCGCAGATTTTTCAATTCACGATTACCGAGTCAATTATTCAATGCGTTAGCATTATACATCCTTAAGGCCTTTTTTTATTTTTTATCGTTTTGGTCAATAACTTAATCGCTGATAGCATACTCAAAGATCAAACAAACAATTACATGATGATGGCTTTGTTTTGACTATGTCTCTGATTCATGGTTATAAAATGCAAAAAAAATAAAAAATAAAATAGTAAGCTATTAATTATTCACTTAGGGCTTTAATATTCTATTTTTAACACTTTGGGGAACTTTCGGGTTGAACCACTCCATTAAATTTTTGTTGATAAATCGCACTGTTTTGTTTATTTGTTTCGATGCCTAGGCGCAAAACATCCAGGTCATCAGCGCCTGATCAACTAAATAATACTACTTTTATACTGTTTGGATGGTGGGTACAAAAAAAAAAAAATAAAATAAAAATACATAATAAAATAAATAGAAGGAGTGATAGAATAAAATAAATAAATAAAAATAACAATAGACACTTATAGATAATAAGATAGAATAGAAAAATAAATTAACTTTTAAAAAATAGCAATAAAATCAATAATGACAAATGAAGTTTTAAAATAAAAAAAATAAAATGAAATAAAGTAAATAAATAAAAATAATAAATAATAATAAATCTGCTAAGGATCATTAGTTATGAACTTGTCATATATGTTGTTTAAGTCTTTCATTATCTAGAAACTTGATAAGTTTGGTAAGGATTTCTTCTTGATTTCCCAGGGATGCTGATATATTCTGGGGTATTCCGGAATCTTTTAACCTTGTTGTGTAAAAAGCACTCTTCCAAAACATGTTTTATGGTTAATGACTGATCACACTTTTGACATATGGGGATATGATCTTTTGTTATAAATCGCACAGTATATTAGCATAGAAATGCATTAGCGACCTTTAAAACCCTCCTTTTGACGGAAAAGTCAGAAACTGGCTAAAGACGTGTCAAGTTATAGCTCCTTGTTTCATTTAATGTTTTCCCTCCTCTCTTTATTATTATTTTTTAAAGGTAAGTAGCAATTATTTTGTTTCATTGATTGTTAGTATTATATATAGTTTTAAGTATTTTTTAAATAGTTTCGTTGTTTGATTTTCCATATTTTATTACTATACTTAATTTGTATTATGTCTCTATTCATTAATGTAATAGTTCTAGCCGGAAGTAATTCTTTTTTTTTCTGTATCGTCGTGTTATTCTTAAGTGACTTCGTCCCAGAATAAAATTATTTTTTTATTTCTATACACGAAGGATTTTTTATATATTTTCTTGAAGTTGGGCGAATAAAATTTATATTCCTCCTGGGATAAATTATTTTATTAAACATGTTTTTTTCTTATATTTCCAACATTTCAGGGCTCTGCCCCATCTTCAGAAATTGTTTATTTCCTAATTTTTCTAAGTATTGTCGTATATGTCATCCATATATTTTTTTATTTTGTCATTTACCCTGACAGAGCAAGATTAGAATGTTCCTAAATAGAATATAAGTGAAAAGTTATGAGTTAAATGTCAAATGAAAAAAATACGATATTGGACAATATTTAGGAACATTAGGAAATAGAATATTACTAAAGATGTAGTAGGGTCCTGAAAAGTTGAATATGTAAGAGAAAAATGTGATTAATGAAAAAATTATTCCCAGCAGAAATTTATAATTTTTTTTTCATACAATTTGTTTTTTCAAGAAATTATACGATTTTTTTTCTGTGGTCTGTACTTGTTTCTGTGGGTAACCTGAGCTAAATATGTGCTACAGAAAAAAAATATATATAACGCTAAGTAAGTACTTAGTTAGCAAGTGTCCGGAAAAAAAATATTTTCTATTTTTATTTGTTTTTATTGCTTATTTATTTATTGAATAATATAACATTCTGTTGCTTTGGCAATGTTTATAGGAAGGTAAGATCCCATACACACTATAAAAAAAATAAAACAAACAGAAGCAAAATAATAATCAAAGTATTATTTGGCTCCCTTCCCCCGTATGACAGAAATGGTGGGTAAGATGTTAGTCAATTAAAATAAATGAATAAAAAAAAAAGGTTCTGATAATGGGAAAATATATCCCGAAAAGTCATCATGTGGCCAATGAAGTAAATATATAAATCACAAAAGAAGTTATTTTTAGCCAAACTCATTAGTAAGAAATATAGTATTTAAAGTAATCATAGCGCTTAGCTACAGTTGTAATCAATAATTAACGCTGATTAGTCTAGCCGTTCCTGGTGGTAATGAATTATCGATTCGCTGGAAGCTACAGAACAGTCAGCGATGGAATTATTCAATATGAAACAGATATATTATACCGTATTTAATGTATTGCCTGCAATCGATTTCAGTACCACTACTAGGCCCGTGCAAAAAATTCGCACAGCATATTGTTTTTAAATGCCTAATTATTAAGAAGAAAAAATTTATGCAACGCATCAAAAGATAAAAAAATCAATTGTTACTTTATCGATAAATATAAACGACAAAGGAAACAAAAATTATTTTAAATCGTCATTAATGTTTGGAACCAACATGGTTACAAATTTCAATAAGCTGTATCTTTGCTAAAAAAATTTCCGATTTCGATGATTTTTTTTTTCTGTTGTAGGGAATTTAGTAATCTTTTATATAATCATGGGCATAACCTAGGGAAAAGTGTGTAATTTTTTAGTTATTCGCAAATAATGTGTGTTTTCTTTCATAACTTGTTTGCCTGAATTTTCGGGATGATTGGACTATTTTGCCCGCCTGAAGGAGAAGGAAGCCTTCGAAATTGGTGGCTCAATCTTGAGATTTGGTTAACAATTAACAATGATGAATGGCTTGCCGATCAAAAACACCATCGATAAATAATATAAACTCCTCCTCTCTCGATCATAGAGACCTCAAGACGACGAAATGAGACATGCATTCAATGACAGTACTACAATTAACGTAAGGTTGTGTGGATGCGAACCCTATGCCTTGCGTTATCTCGAAAATAGTACGTTTTTGAGCTTAAAAACGCAGGATCCGATAGTTCCGGAGGAATCATTACGGGTCTTGCTGTACGCATCAAAATCTTCAAGGTCCAATTTGTCCCGTATCGATCTACAGACCTACCACCGTTCCTGTATGTTTGCCTAGCAAAATGTTTGTACCGACTTTATTTATTTTAGAAAGAAAAACAAAAGTGGAGAATAAGATTCGCTAACCCCCCGTGAAATTCTGAATCCAACGGTACCCTATTCATGGTATTCGAGCCTGACAGGAGCTTATATTTGGTACAAAACCCATTTCGAGCCTTGCTGTAATAATATATGTGTGGATAATGACATCTGTTGATGGCTGTGAGATAATATTGACAAAATTCAAAGTTTAAGAAAATATTGTTTTATGTAGTTATCTTGTTGGATCAACATTCAACAAGTTTCTGATTAATTCAAACGCATACGTTATTAAAAAAAAAAAAAAAGAAGATAAGCATCGAACCCTAAGTAGATCAATTATTCATGGGAGGTTGGAGACCTTACCCACGTGCCATGTCTCCATTCCCAAGTGGCATTTTACATTTTCTCCGGATCAATGAAGAGGGGGAGATCAATACTCTGTTTTCTGTCGAGGAGAAGGCCCCAGGGGATCCCAGTCCCCTGGGGGGCAGAGCCCCTATCGCCTACTGCCCACTCCTCTAATATTGATACGCTGTCGGAGCCCATCTCAGTTGAAGGCACCCTGCCTTAATGAAGTTCACCGTCCGGCCAAAGGCAATGCAAACTAACTTAATTGCAACTTCAGCTGAGGCAAATTAGATTTGCTACCACTTTTCAGTCCGAAGCGGAACTGATGAGAAGTGTAATTTCGAGGCACAGATGACGCTTTGCAACTTCCCACTTGTCATTCTAGTTTAATGCAATGTTGTATAATTGGAACCATCAGCTCTATCATCGGATTATAGCTTGTTACTCAACAAACATTAAACATTATTATATAATATGTCTCAGCCGTACGATCACACCATTAAGTAAACAACTTAACTCAACAACCAACGAGAAAAATCATTAAATAAGGTTTAAAAATCCGGAAAAAAAATTGGAAAGAAAGAAGAAAAATAATACATTTTATTCTGGGATCTTAAATTGCCCTAGAAAAAAAATACAATAAACATAACAAATGACATTTGTCTTGCGTTAAAATACAATCAAGAAATAATTAAATTACAAAGCAACGTAACCATGAAATTAAAATACAGAATAAGCACAAGTAAACAAATTAAATTATAGATAAATAAATATCAGCGTTTTATTTAATTTATGTATTTGATATTTACAACTGTATACAAAAAATACATCTGGTAAATTCGCACATGGATATAATGACATGGAACACATGTTGAGAAACTACCCATTGGTAGCACTCTAATAATATGTCTATATTAGAAGATCACGTGGCCATCTTCTTTTCAGACGCCTCGGAGGGTTATCAGGAATCGAATAGGTAGCAAGATTAGAGACAAGAGGGTTGGGATGGTTATGAAGTTTATTATGGAAGGACAGATATCTGGATTGGGCCAAATCTGATACATAAGGAACATTAAGGTCATTATGGATAATTTTATTTGTAACAAAGTAAGGAGCATTGAGGATTTTACGAAGGATTTTTGATTGTAGGGATTGGATGCGAGAGGAATTTGAAGGTTTGGTGGAGCCCCATAGCTCAACTCCGTAAGTCCAAATAGGCCTTATTATAGTCATGTAAATGAGTCTTTTATAATTGATTGGCAGGTTAGAGCGTTTGTCTAGTAAGTGTTGAAGTATTCGGAAACTTCGAGCTGTTTCTTGTCGTTTCAGTCTGGTATGAGGATTCCAAGTTAGACGTTTGTCCAGATGGAGTCCTAGGTTACGGATTTGTTCAACAGGAATAAGTGAGGTGTTGTTAAAGGATACTGAAGGACAGGAAGTCATTGGTTTACGACAAATATCAGCGTTTTAAATATTTTCTTCATGTTTCCTTATTTATTCAAAAAATTATTTCACCTATTTGAGCTCTACGCCACCTTCAATCATCAATTTCTTTATGCATACAGTACAACCACATTCATCTATAAAAATATTATTCCGGATAACTCGAAATCCCAAACAAGAATTGATTTGAACAGTTGATAAAAAATTCTTTATATTTATACCTTTTATTAAAGAATGTGATTGCTAGTTGCTTGCTATTACCATATATATTTCATTGTTCGTAGCACGCAAACCACCGCTAAACGACCGAATTGCCATTAAATTAAAAAAAATATATATAAACGAAACAGCTCGACGTTTCCGGCTACTTCAACACTTACTAGACAAAAATAATCATTCAATTAATTACAAAAGACTCATTTACATGAATATGATATGGACATATGCGGTTGAGCTTTGATGCTCCACCTAACCATCGAATTCTCATCGTATCCAATTCCTACAATGTAAAATCCTTAATGCTCCACATTTTTTCACGAATAAAATCATTCATAAAGACATTAATGTTCTATGTGTCGCTGATAAACTCCAGTCCTATCCGAATATACTTGTTTACAGCCTTCCTTCTTTCTTGATACCTGATAATCTTCCAAGGCGTCTGAAAAGGAGATAGTCTCAAGATCTTGGTACTTAACAATATTTAGACAGTGCTATCATTGGGTAGTATCTTGACAGTCTATTCATGTAATTATTTCTGATTTGTTCTCATTTACTGGTAGCATTTTTTAAATTTAGTTGTAAATTTAAAAATTTAATTTAATTAATAAAAAGTTGAAAAAAGAAATTGATTTCAACACTACAAGACACATATTGAGTTCAACTCTTATCATATACACGTACGGAAAAAGAAACTGAATGAAGGGAGGGTTTGAATGAAAAATGTCGATTCCTATTTTCACAAATCCAGTAGCAACTTTTTTTGGATGAATATGCTAAGCACAGATGAACGGATAGATGAGACTGTTATTAAGGGCAACATTCTTTATTAATTAAATAGTATATAATTTTTTTTTCATAGTTTTTAGTTATCATAGTTTTTTTTTTTCAAAAGTAGAACTGATTGATCTTAAGAAAATACTGAAGAGTATCTACAACAGTTGTCTACGGTATTTTCTTAAGGAATCGTTCTCTGGAATTATGGAATGGCCCTCACTTAGCGAACACGTAACAACATTTCTAAATCCATATTCTCAAGCTGTTTGTCAGCTTTTTCTGTTGTTAGCGAAGGAGAAGCTTAAAGAATAATAAGGAGATGGCATTCTTACTCAACTGCTTACCGATGACTTTGCAAAATCACTTCATTTGTTTACTCAAGTAATGGTCAAAGGTTAGCATTAGAACTTGGAACTCGTGTGTAATATTTGATAAAAAAAAAATCTAAAGTAGAAAGAAAATGGGTGTAAAATATATACAAATTTGTACAAAACCTTATTATTAATCCTCTTGCGGATTAATAATAATGCGGAACCCCAAGACAAAATTTTGTATACATAAAAAGACAACTATTGTTAGCCACTAGAATATTGCCTGCCGAAAAAGATGTGTTTTTAGTTGCATCCTATTGGCCATAGCAACGAGAGCGTTGGTTTCAACCTGACATAGCTGTCATACCATCCCACATCCCCGCCGCGTCGACAATCACTACTTCCTCCGGACTCGTCAACCGATAATCAGAGCGAATTAGCCTAACTAGAGGCCAAGAATCTCCGAACCACCAAATCACATCTTCATTCCACCATCATTATCGCCCCCTGCCAATTTACATATCAATATTCATGGAAGTTTGATTGGATAATCACCAGTAGAAGCTGGTTATTAATTCATCAGGGCCGGCAAAGCTGTTGACCACAAAATGAATCGCTGTCCTACTCATTCTCACCTGTAAATTCTGTGTGGGTGTTGGTTATTAAAAAAAAAAAAAAAAAAAAAAAAAATCAACTGGTGTAATTCTACTGGCATCAAATTATTTTATTTATTTTAAACATTTCATCTTTTAGATATGATTTTTGACTCACTTGGAACCCCCATACCAGACTGAAACGACTAGAAACCGCGCCCGACGTTTTCGACTACTGCTGCAGCACTTACTAGACAAACGATCTAAGCTTTCAATCACTGATAAACGACTCGTATATATGACAATAATAAGTCCTATTTGGACTTACGGAATTGAGCTTTGGGGCTCCACTAAACCATCGAATTCCTCTCGTATCCAATCCTTACAATCCAAAATCCTTCGTAAAATCCTCAACGCTCCTTACTTTGTCACAAATAAAATCATCCATAAAGACCTTAATGTTCCATATGTTTCCGATCTGGCCCAATCCAGATACCTTTCCTTCCATAACAAACTGCAGAACCATCCGAATCCTCTCGTTTCAAACCTTGCTTCCTCCTCGATCCCTGATAACCCTCCGAGGCGTCTGAAAAGAAGATGGCCTCTTGATCTACTTATGTAAATATTTTATTAGAGTGCTACCAATGGGTAGTTTCTCTTCATGTTGTACATGCCATGTTACAAATTTCTCATTTACTTATTGTATTCTCTATGTAATACAGTTGTAAATTCCATTAAAATAAAAAAAAAATAATAAAAAAAAAAAAGATATGATTTTTAATTCTAATGAGTAAATTTATTACTCAACAGGTTAAGGTACAACCTTATATGTTTTTATTATTAAATCGGTATATCTTAAACTAAAGTAAACAGGTGGTAACAATTGTTGTAGTGTAATATAAAATATAATATATGCAATTGTGAACATACTCATACAGATCTAAAGGAGAGATTGGAAGAAAAGGAGAAAGGATATAATATGAGATAATAGACATAAAGAGGTGTGGAGAAAGAAAAGAAAAAAGAAGAAGAAAACAAAAAAATAAGTAAATAAAATTAGAAAAATAAAAATAGAGATTTACAGGTGTGTTTAGCTAGGAGTTTCACTTAGAACTGGAAAAACATGGGTCAGTATTGTGGAAATTTGGTGACTTGGCTGGAAAATGGTCAGGATGTAAGTAGTAAAATAAAACAAAACCTGGAAAATTACAGCATCTAAAATTTGAAGATATGGATGGATACAAGGGAAAATACTATATCTATGAAATAATAAATTAGAAATATATACATATACTTCTAAAATAAAATTAAGAAATTATAGATAATAGTAAAATGTGAATAAAAACAAAAATGAAAGAAGTAAAACGTACATAGAAATAAAATAATTGGTAATTGGTTGACTGTCGTGGATAATGAAGAGAAGAATAGTAGAATAAAAAAGAATAGTAAGATTCCCATTGTAACACTTATGTCACCCTTTTTGATTATGCCTACTTCATCATTCCACACTTTGTAACGGTTATTATTATTTATCTCTTAGTTCTTAGTCATTATTCTAACAATTTCATTTTACTTTATATTTATTTATTTTATTTTTCTAATTTTTTTTTTATTTTTTTTTTTTTTACCATCACTACTTATGTTTCTCATACCTTGTTATCTGGTTATTTTCTTAGCCCTGATGAAGGCCTGAACTTCAGGTCGAAACGTCGGCATATGTTAAAAATAAATATTATCATTTATTTTCGCCTTCCTTTTTGACTGACCACCCCAACTATTCTTCTCTTCATAGAAATAAAATATAAATATAAAAACGTATTTTTATATTTTCTGTAATAGATTTTTTTTTTGTATTAAT